TATATCGTCATGAATGGAATTGATTCTTACTGTACATACAGTTTGCAAATCTGAACAGATGCAAGATTTTGAGACTGACAGAATATTTAGTCAATCTCATAATTTCTCCTTATTTAGATTCCTACGCATTTGATAGCATCTCTATATGAACGCGGGTTCAGAATCACTTCACACTGCCTGAAACTTTTTGAGCGGAAGAGGTCGGTTCCTAAGTTTGACCGAAAGATGATCGAGACACTTGTGAAAAGCCAGTATCAGAAAACAAAAGAATTTTGAACCTTCACGCCACTTCTCTGATAAGATGTAAACCTATGGCACAAGGAAGATGCATCAAATATGAATTGTTCATTATCAATCTGAAGAGAGGAGGATGTTGCCATTGATGATTCCTAATGCCTCAGCAGTTGCTGGAGGGATGTTCTTATCCAGACATTAACCTAACTCATTTTTTGAATATACGGAATGGATTTTATCTTATCTTCATTTTGAATAATAGCTTGAGTTACTTACAGCTGCAATGTATCAGTTCTCAGTAAATGCCTAGGAAGACGTTTTTTGCCACAGAAGCCTTAGTCATAATCATTCTTCCATTCAGTGTATCTTAAACCGTTAATCCTTTTCAACGCATCATAACGAGTACCGGCTTAATGACAGGTGCTTCCACTTAGTCAATGTCAAATCAAACTACAGAAGAGTCTAACAGATCTTTGACAACTTTCACGTACACTTTTATAGAATTAACTTCACTGTTTCAAGCATCAACAGTGTCTACCGCCATTTGACAGGTTGCTTTAAACTAATCGTCATGCAGTATAGTCTGATATAAGAAAAATATATAATTCATAAGTTTGGAACGCTCTTGATTATTCAAGTAGCATGGATGTTATTCCTTAATTTCCATTTCTTCAGGTCGTCCATCAACAGTCATATGTTATTCATTGGGTCTATCCGGTGGATCTTTCATTCTATGTTCGAAAACTAGGTAATAAATACGATGAAAGTATTTGCCATAGCCTCAATTTCAAGTGGGCTTGATTTTAAGATGCGACTGTCTCATGACTTTTATTATTACGGTCCCGTTAGCTGACCGCTTCAGAGTTGGTGGCAGATCCTCACAAGGAAAGGTTCAGAAAGCCGTAAGTTTGATTTTCAAGCGATCCTTTACGAAAGTCATGTCTGTTTTTCATAAAGCGGGAAGCAGAGTCATACTGTAGCGCATACATCATAAGCTAATGCTTTGTCCGGGACACTAATAAATAGATCCCATCATTGATGGAAGTACTCGTCATATTCTGGGTTTACATAAGCACTCAGGGCTTTAATGCATTTCGCCAAAAGTAAGACTAAAGATTATAACTAAAATTTAACTGCTTGAATCACATCATCGAGAGATTCTTGGTGTGAAGCCGCTGCTTCTTGAGACTGAGGAGAAACAGCTGCGATGGCTTAGTCATTCGTTACGACTGCCTCTGAAGTGGAAGGAGAAGCATCTACTATTTATATAGATGACCGACCGATGACCGTAAGAACGATCAAGTATCACCTGGAACAAATACCTCGGTAGACGGGGCTCCAGGCTAGGGTACTTTTACCGTAGGTGAGACACTGGTACAGGATCGCGAACGTTGGAAACAATGTCTGACATGCCTACCTTCGCGACCCGTTAAGATAAGGGGTCATCGAAACTGACTGACTCACTTGTTGAATAACGTCGTCGATGAATACTACTTCTTAGCATATAAGATG